GCTCCTGGTGCCCACCGCCTCTGTCCGCCCCCACCGCCTCACCCCCGCCTCTGTACCCACGCCGGTCAGCCCCCCCTGCGAACTGGGCAAGAGCGAGGCGGGAGGTGCCACGGCCTGGACGACGCCGGGACCCTTCCCCAACGCGGCGGGGGACATGGCACAGAGCCTCAGCCTCAATGTGGACGCAGGTAAACAGCTGCCCGTGGTCCCTCGGGGTCCCCCAGCTCAGATGCACCCCTGCCCCTGCTTCCTTCACACCATCTACAGTAGTAGAGAAGGACCCTTGAGGCAGCACGACAGGCAGGCTACTGGGGGGGAATAAATTTGGCATGGAAACCCCATGGCAAACACTTGAGCTCTGCCCTGAGTACTCTTCTTGGGGCTCTCAGGCCAGGCAAGTGAGGAAGGGGAGGGAGGGTGGGGCAGGGCAACACATCATCCCCCACAACATCCTTTGAATTTCTGGCACCCACAAACACACCCTGACGATACAGGTTGCTTTGGGCTACTCTTGTCCTATCACTGGTACTGCTCTCATCTTGAGCAACGAGAGCTGGGAGCAGGACAGAGCTGCCCCAAAGGTCACCACTCGCCTCCCAGTTTTTGAAAAGAAAGCACAATTGTGTTTTCTGAGCAAAAAGGGCAACAGTTTTCTCATGGTAGTGGTACCTGGTACCACCAGTGCCTGGTGGGTGTCTGGAAGTAAGGCTATATGGCCACAGCAGTGACAAAAAGGTGACACAGGCATAGCCAGCAGTGGCAGTTCCTGGATCAGTGACTGTGGAGGCAAGGAAAGCCTGCTCTGGTGGCAGTTCTCCGTGCTCAGGTTGGGTTATCACAACCACAGAAGGCTCCTTACAGTGGCATCACTTTAGACATGAGGGACATGTGGCTGTCTCCAGTCTGGCTTGGGATCTTCTCACTTCATGCCCTCCTGGGGCTCTGGGCAGCCCATGCTTTAGACTGATTCTCTGATCTCAGCTGGCAGAAATGCAGTTTGTCTTACTCTGTCCTTAAATACCTGTACCTATTTTTCTTCTTCCTTTTTTTTCTTCTCTCCATTCTCAGGTTTGCAACCTCAGGATAAAAGCAAGGATCTATACTGGTTTTAGAGCTGTCCTTCACTCTTCTTCCCCTGGCTCTCCCCTGTAGATCTCTGCCTGTTAGACATGGTGGCATTCAGAGCTGAAATCGGGTCAGTTTGTAACAGCTTCTGGTCTTGGTTTGCAGCTCGCCGTTACTCCTTCTGTGGTGGATCCCTTCTGAGCTGATGTGCAGACTCAAAGACTCTCAGATCCCCCCTTGCCCTTTTCCAAGCCCATCGTGGCCCTGCAGCTCGGGGAAAGACAACGGGACTTAAAAGGACCTGGCATTGCAAAGACAATACTTTAGACTTATTACGGAGAGGAAAATCCTTCTGTTGCAAGAGGAGAGCCAACGACATTGAACTTCTATTTAAGCAGACCCCTCACCCAGAACTGCGGTCGGACTACTCTAAAAGAGTCAGACGACGACATGGATGGTGATGCAGAACCACTGGCCTTCCTTCATACAGGGAGCAAAGGAAATCATGGGGTTCTTTTTTAGTGGTGTGAATATTTTTTCATGGCAGTGAAAACTATTTCTCAAAGGCAAACATGGGAAAGCTACTTAGCAGTTTTGAACTTGATTTTTACTTTACACTATTGAAAAGTAGAAGGAGAGGAAACTGGAACTCACAAATATTTTCAGACTATCAAGGAACTGGTCAGATTTTTTTAATCTTTGTGGTTGTGAGTGGCAAGTGCCTGACCAGGGCCACCTGCCCTGGGCTTACAGAGATGCAGCTGTTCCACACACAACTGCTGAAACCCCAGAAAGACAAAAACCAAGGTGGCACTTCTCAGAGTTTGGCACAGCATTAGCATTGGATATATAACGGTTGTTTGGTTGTGGTTTTTTGTTTGTGATTTTTTTTTTTTCCCAAGAAATATTTTCTGGTGAAAGTAAAACCCTGTTAAAGAAGGGGGAGGAAAGAAACTCCCGAAAAACAGATTGCCCTCAACCCAACAGCCTTAAGGGGAAGACCAGGAAAGGCACGTGATGGACAATAGGTCTAAGTTGGTCTAACATTTCTTTTTGTCTACTTGTTGCTGTCATTTTGTCACTTTAATGGTGGTTTTGTTTTTTTGAAAGGGGGAATAAGGTATCTAACAGTAGGAAAGCTACATTAAAAGTATCACCTTCTTTCACTCTGTGTGCTTTTATGAAGAATTGAAGCTAAATAAGAGAAATCAAGTAAACTGGAAACTTCAGGATGAAATAGGAAAAAAACCCATTGTGTGGATGAAGTGAGTTATTTTATTACTTTGCATTAAAAATAAATATAAATCCTAGCAGCTGAAAATATTTTCTTAGTGGGTAAAAACTAGAGTGATAAATACAAAAGCTAAGAAAATACGCATTTGTTGCAGTGCTAGATTTTAGAGTACGGTGTAGCTGTAAGATGGGTTAAAGAGGGCTGCTCCACAATAACAGATGTTTCTTCATAAAGCTGATAGAAGAGGGGACTGTAGCATTTTACACTGCTCTTGCACTGGTAAATTAAAATGCTATTACAGGATGATGAATAATTAATGAAGCAGCACAGATATTACAATGTACCCCTATACTTAAAACCTGACTTTTTTACAGGCAAAACATCTGATTCATACATTACGATGTTTTGGTTTGGTTTTTTTTCTGTTTTTTCTTAATGTAATGTCTTCAAAGGCTGACACAGTTCAATGTGTGTAAGAGGAGAGTCCTAACATCACCCCTCTGACACTAGAAGCAGCAGAAAATGGCCTTTTGTGCCATGATGAGAGTTTTTACCTTTCGACATTCTCACATAATCTGGCATAATGTGCACCACACATCAGAAATGGGGTTGTGAATGACCCAAACTTACTTCTTTTAGGTTTGAGCTCAGCAGTAGCTCCATTTCTGGGAAAGAACGGGAATCCTAATAGTAAGAGTAGGATAAAGCAGTGTGAGTCAATACTGTGAGAAGCTGGCAAGGAGCAACGTGTGCAGAGCATCCCAGCCAGAGCTTGGCAAATAGCAGGCGGTCACTTGCTATGATTCCTGCAGCCAGATGTACCTCTGGGCATTTCACTCTCAGCCAGCCTCCAATTAGCCAGAGCCCAGACAAGCTGTAAAGGGCAAGGGAAGGACTCCAGAATTTATATTACTGGTTAAACTAAAAATGTTCTGAGGCGTCTATCAAGAAAGAAGGCAGCAGCACTTTGCAGGAGAAAAGTAAGTAAAAATAGCATTTAACTTTATTGCTGCAGAAGCTTGGAGATAACAGGATCATTCTGTGAGCATTTGCCTGCAAGTTTTCTTGGGCTGTTTTTAAATATTATATTTTAAAAAAAAAAAAGATTAATCTGCCTTTGGCAATGGTTGTGCTTTTTTTTTTTTTTTTCAGTTGTTTCATTTTTTTCAATGATTGTTTCTTTTTTCTTTATTTTTCCTCCTCTCTTCTGTAATTCTTAATGAGGAGGGCTGGAAAATACAGCCCAAATATGTTTGGAAATATTCATATAAGCACAAACCAGCCATTTACTTCATTGGCATTTACAATTAATTTTGACTCTGAATGTTTTCAAGTATGAGAATTTGTGCAATGAATACATGAACACTGGTTTTGACATTCATTCTCCAGGTACTCTTTTTTATTGTTACATTGTGAGCGCATCCAAACACAAACATCAAGACTGTGGTTCAAAGTGTCAGATGTGCAAACAACTTTTTAAAAATGCTCTTACTCTGACTGGACTGCAGTCTGAAAGTGGACGGGCTCTGTTTTGGCTAACCCTTGTAGAGTTTTGCTCACTTGGTGTTATTCTGACTCCAGGGGGACCGCTCACAGCACTGACCTTTAAGGCTTCAGTCTTTTCAGGGCTGGAGCCACAGACTGTAGTGCAGTAACAGTGCAAACAACCTCAGTGCCATTGCACAAGTCTATTTTATCCCTCTTTGCATCACAGGTTATTACTTGCTTAATCACACAAGCTTGCAGGGAACCCAGAGATACAAAAGAAATTCTTTATATGTTACGTATGTCTTATCTGTCACAAGCTTGTCACACACAGAAAGAGCAGGGCTGTGAGTCCCTGGTCCTGCAGCCCCAGAAGCAGAAACGCCCACTGCCCTTTTCAGAGTGTCGTTCAAAAGTTCCCACCGGCTTGTGCCACCCGTGACAAACAGACTAGCCTAGCTGGGACAGACAAACAAACACAGCTCCTGACCCATTCGTGCAGAGCCCAGGGAAGAAGGCAGGGGAACGGGAGCTGCTGCAGAGCACAGCAGTGCTGGGCACAGAGAGGGGATCCACTGCTGCCGAGTCAGAGCAGTTCGTATGAGTCTGCAAAGTGAGGTCTGAGGATATTCACCTGCAGACATTTATTTGCCGTGCTGAAAACAACTGAAAATTAACAAAGCATGAAGGAATACCATTTTAAGGAACTCTGAGGTTAACAGTGAACTGTCAAGGAAATAATGGAAGTGGGGACACAGTATTTGTGGTCACAGTCTCCACTTTATTTTAATGAGGGTTTTGCTCCAGTATAGCTGCAGTTGCAAGAGTGCAGCACAGAGCTCTTAGACACGTGTGTACATGCACCTGCACTCACAGGCTAATGTTGGAGAGCTTTAGGGTGACATTGTTTACTTCCCACCTTCTTTTCCACTGGGTCTTCTACAGCAGCCTCCAGCCGAGACGGAGGAGTGGAGGGAGAGAGGGTAAGAGCCTGAGTAATCCCCTGCACCTCCCCCGGACTGTGCTGCCGGTCTCTGGGGAAATGTATCTGCCCTGTCTCCTCCTTGGGTCAGGAGGGACTGCGATCCCTTCTCACCTTCCCTTTGAAGTCCTATTTAGGTTGTCCCTATGACAAGCTCTAGCAAGGGCTTAAAGGTTGCTCCCTTCATAGAAGGGAGGAAAATGCTGCTGGTGGCTTTGGATGCACTAGGGTTCTCTGACAGGCAGTTCTCATCCATCTTTTTCTGGGCAAGGGTTGTAATTAACATGCCCTTTTGATTACAGAAGGGTGAGCCAGCTCCTCTGGGGGATTGCAGTGTCCTGGCTGGCTTCCCTGGCCTGCCACCCAGAGGAGCAGTTGCAGCAGGATTGACTTTGTAGGTTAGGCAGTTTTGCATAGGGAAATGGGAATAGGGGATCGGTAAAAGAAAAATAAAAAAAAAAAATGAAGAAGAAAATAAGCTAAAAGAAAAAGAATATTAAAAGAAAAAGGAAAAGAAAATGAAAAAATGAAAAGGAAAGAAAAAAGAAAAAATAAAGAAAAGGAAAAGGAAAATAAAGAAAAGGAAAAGGAAGAGGAAGAGGAAGAGGAAGAGGAAAAGGAAAAGGAAAAGGAAAAGGAAAAGGAAAAAAAGGAAAAGAGCTTTACTTCAGTTAGCATCCAAGGCCTGGGGCTACAGCCTTGGAAACTGTCTTGTTTATTTATTTACAAGCTCAGTGAGGCTGTTCTCTAAATCGACTGTACTGACAAGCAGCTCAGCCCAGCAGATCCCCCTGTTCATGTCCAGCTCTACCCATAGAGGAGGAGTTACCTTTGCATCACCTTCTGCTGCCTCCTTAGCCGAGCATAAACTGTGGATAATGTGCACCAAACTCACCAGCACAAAATGTAACGGAGAGGCAGTGGAGAGGAGAGGAGAGGAGAGTGTCCCCCTCCTCCTGCCCCTGCCCTCTCTGCATCAGGACCTGTGGGAGAAGGGGAATTGGAGGAGCCCGTGCAGGGGTGAAGGGTACACTCCTCTAGGCCCCTCTGTTGTGCCCAAGCACCGTGCTGGGCTGCAGGCCTCAAAAACACCCACTGACCAAGGGCCAGAGCGTTTCTGTAGGCCTGTGTCGTTTGCTTATTTACATTCATGGTAAAGGCAGGAAAAATACCAAACAGGAGAGCTTTCCCACTAGGACTTATAAAACCACATTGGATGTTACTGAGGATGCCCCATATCCCCACTGCAAGGCAACTTTCCTCCTGCCCCATCTGGCCTAGCTATGGCTGCATGCCCTCCTTGTCCATTACACCCTCCCTTACTTCTTAACTTCTCTTCTTGACTTCTGGCCTCAGCCCTGACTCTGCAACCCACTCCCTCTCTGCTCTGCTGCCTCACCCAGCCTCTCCCCTTCTGCACTTACTACTTTGGTCTCACACTGCAACAATGAGGAGCAAAAGAATGATGTTGGGAGGGACACCAACTTTCTTATCAATGCTGTTTA